TATATATAAAGATATACGAGCCTTTTTTGTGTGTAATCCGTATGATAGGGTATCAACTCCAAAAACAGTGCAAACCTTGGTGAAATATATATATATGAAAACCAATCCAACCCTTTTGTGTTTGAGCAAAATAAATTTTTTTATTCAAAATTCCAATAATACGTTTCCTCCTATTGGAAATTAACTACTGAAACGAGTTGTAAATGTATTTACGTATATTATTTGTGCTTGATATATGCTTTGTGAAATTCACTTTGAAATAATCACACTTTGTTGGTTTTACCCTTTTTACCACATACCAAAAAGTATCTATGCAGCTTTACGTTGAGATATGAAGCAAATTCTACAGGGGAAAAACTCAGCAAAATCACTCTTCTTACACCCCAGAAGCAACATAGAGAAAAAGGCTCTGAGTACTCGTTTTCAGTTTAAAGGTGAATAATATCGATGACAAATATCTTATTCACAATTTGAATCTTGCAAAGCCGTGAATTCAGAGGGATAACCTTATTAGAGCCGAAGAGCCTTCGCCAGCCCAGGCAATTTCCTGGGCAACGTTGCTTCTATACCGGCAGATCGGGTTGAAAATAAAACGTTCCACAGAGGATAACAGCGCCGAATTGCCGCATCTCCATCCTAAGCCCCACCACACACGAACTACACCCGTCCGCCACTGGTTGACCGATTTGATGCCGCCAAGGTGCGACGCGGTAGTTCAGCTGAACCCGTGGCGCCGCACACACTACGTCAAAGGGTTCATTAAACACGATGTCAGCGCATTGGACCCCTTGATAGGCTGCTATGCACCACATCGTGTCTTCCGCTAGACTCAACCTCTCGCCGTTCTCAGGGGAAAGGCATCCCTCACTATGTAGCCGCTCACACAGATCCCGAGCGGTGGCTGTTAGCATCCACGGTGGCGCCTCAACTGCTTGCCGCAATGACGTGGACTGATGAAGACAATCGGATATTACGACTGAGTTTGCCTCGCCGTCTTCTTTCTCGCTTACGGATTGATTCCCTTCTTTTGAGGACATACCTACGGTGCACTGAGTTTTATGGTGGCTCTGTTCATCAGAAGGGTCCTCCTTTGTGGTTAGACAATAGCATGCGCGTTGAGCGTAGCCCCCACCTTGCAGGGACACCAGGGGCCCGTAGAGACCCCCAAAGCTGTCGATGCTTCCCAACGCCCCCACAGAAACCTCTTCCACACCACACCACTCGCTGCTTGAAGGCCAGTAGTCCTTCGCCTCCGATGGCGGGGACGCCCGTGGTAGCATTCGACACCGCAAGCCCTTCGAACCGTCCTCTGGGGCGGCCGAAACGCCATTGCTCAAGAGAAGAGGGGGGGTTTTGTCCCCCCTTGGTCCTGTCAGGAGCATCCCGACGAGGGGCCGGTACGTTTCATCGTACAAGGTCAACTTCACATCGCTTTCTTTTCGATGCGAGGCATGCAGGAGCTCGACCGCACCCATGGATGGGTGTTTCCGTTGGTGGGGATGGTACGTTGTGGAGTAAAAGCAGTTGAGGATGCCGACGTCATCCCAAAAGTGTTCGTGGGGGGGATGCAGCTGCCTGACATGGCTTGTTCGTACAGGTCGTGGGGTCTCACAGAACTCGGCTAACGAGTGGAGTAAAGTGTGGAAATACACCGGTGCGACACTGCTGTGGGTGAATGGAAGCTTTTGAAATGGAAGTAAAGAGGTTTGGGTCAAGAAATTAGTGCTGAGCGCAGGACCGGCAATGGTTTGATAAGGCTGCACAGCAGCCAACAGCAGCTTTGGAATCGATACAGCAACTTCTTGTTGTGAAGCTAAAAACGACATCCCTCGTGATGGTTATCCTATTAAAGATACCCGTTTGCATCGACCAAATGCTTTATAGGGAGTAAACAAAGTAGTGATTACAGAATCTTTCTTTTACCCACACACACTAAAAAAAAAGAAAAAAAAAGGATAAAAATTTAGATGCTCCTCTCAGCATAGATATCCAATGCAAAATGAGGAAACCAACACAAAATCCAAAGTCAGTCCCAGTTTTTGAGTTATAGCCAACGTTAAAATCATGTTCCTGCTTTGATAGCATTTACAGAGAAGAAGAAAGTGAAAATACCCATACAGGAGCGAAATACGCGGCACCGCGACATAAAGTTTCACTTTGAAAGTGAAGTTTAAACGTACCCATTCTTGCCTATTTTTGAAAGATGGGCTACATCTTCAATTTTGTTTGAAAAGATTCATGATGGAAAAGGTCATCTATAGAGTTTTAATATAGAGTAAAAAGCAAATAATACTTTGTTCATTCTTCACAATGAATATATACACTCAAAATATCCAAAAAAAAACTAGTTAGGTCCCACCAAGTAACTCTATTTTGTAAGAAAAAGGAACCAAATGAAGACTAAACACAGGAAAAGGAATGGGTCTCACGCAAGGTCACATACCGATTTCTCATAATCCTACATCCCAATGTTATTCAACAACGTCCATCTCGACTGCTTGCTGTACCTTTATTATCTTCCCCCGTTTTTATATTTTACATAGTATTAAAATAATGCATACACTATGTTCTCTCTACATAAAAACGAAAAACCTCATTCGCCTCATAAAGATAACACATGCAAAAAAAAGAGGGAAAAAATAGGAAAATCGAGGTAAGGACCAAACTATCCCCCCTACTCTTCCTTCTCCCCAACAAGCTCTACTTCATAGGAAATATGCAATTGTCATCACAAAATGCGTCTCATTCGTTCGACCCTTGGGGCATGACATAGAGGGCAATTCTTAAAGCTATCAACTTCAATATCTAACGCCTTGTAATGACAACTACCGCATTGCCAGGCCGACTGCTTCGATGTAATACAGCGGCCCGTGCAGATACAAACATCGAATTTTTCATGGCACTTCACGCACGAGGTGGCCCACTCCTTATTAAAGGTTCCACACTGCGGGCAATGAACGCTATCCATCGAAGTGTCCACCGGACGGTGTTTGGTGAAGATTTGAATCGCCAAATTGGCGAAGCGTCGGGCAGGCTCTTTGAGGGACACGGTGGGGTAGGTGAGGGAAGTCATGCTCGAGATCCCGCCAGCGTTGTTGGTGATGCTTACAGCCGAAGTGGTGGTGCCGCTGAGCGCGGAAATGCTACTGAAGGTCGCCGTGGCGTTGCCGGTTCCCCCTAAAATGGTGGCGCCCCCCGCTGATTGGGTGGCCGCGCTAGCCAGGGTTTTTTGCGTGACGTCTAAATCCAGTGAGAAGTTTTCCTGCATAATTCCCCCGGTGTTGCCCTCTTCGTCGTTGTGTTCGGCCATTTCTAGGCGTATGAAGGCCCGACTACAGATCCCGAAGTTCGAGGCCAGATAACTAGTCAGCGCGATGAGGCTGTAGCTATCAATCGGGGCGATCAAATCATCGTATTCCATCAATCGCATGGCCACCACAAGGGCGGTCTCCGGGTTGCGCTCCAGAATTTTCTTTTGGCAGAGCAGAAAAAAATGATAGGCCTCGGCCCCGCGCCAGGCCGAGTCCAAGGCCCGCTCCGACACGCTTTTCTGGTCGCTTTGCAGGAGCTCATGCACGACCTCCGTGCCTTCCTTTCCCAGGCCCATCTTCTTCTTACGGTACTTTTCGACCTCTAGGGCGGACAGGACATGGAACTTCTTGGCCCGGAGCGGGTCCGTCTGGGCCACGCGCTGGCCCAGCTGTGCGAGAAGCCTCGCCGCCTGGTCGTGTTGGCCCGCCTTGCAAAAGAGCTCAATGGCCTCTGAAAAGCGCTCCTTCTTGATGAGGTGCTGGGCGTAATTGTTCAGGAGCTTTTCCATATCCTCAAGCTTATATTCCTTTGCGAGCGAGATGGCGCGATCCCACATGTTCAACTTCACGCAGCCGTCCACCACCATGCGAGGCTCACCGGCGGCCAAAAAGGCGCGGGCCGCCTCATCCGCCATCCCAACCGACAGGAACATTTGACCTAACTCAACAAGCAATTCTTTATCATACTCAACGGTGCGAATTAGCTGCGCGAGCATATTGTAGTCCCGGACTAAATAATAAACTTTCGCGAGTTTCCGGTAGCTGCGGCACTGCGTGTAGTACTGTGCGGCTTTAGACCATTTTTGTCGGTCCGCGTACTGGTCGCCGATGCTTTCCCATGCTTTTGACATCAGAACTTCATCGCCACCGCCTTCCTGGACGAGCCGTACGACCCCAAACCAATCACCGATCCTGAAACGCAGCTCGAGAGCGAGGTCTTTGCGATCCATATCACGGTAGATCTTTTCAGCCTCATCGATGCGGTGGAAATACGCGTGAATTTCGGCCTCCTGCTTTCTCTTGTCATCCATCCCATGAATGCGTTTCACAAACTGGATGGCAGGGTAATCACGAGCCTTAATAAAGGCCATCTCTGCGTAAATGAAGTTGAGCTTCATCAAGGCGTGCTCGGCGAAGATGGACCAGAGCTTGGGATGTGGATCCTTATTCACGAACGCAAAAGCCTTATCGATGCTCTCTTTTTCCAATGTCTCACGCATATCTCGTAGGGTTTGGGTTTCGAAGTCAACCAAGTACTCTTTACGCGGGCGCTCTGGGTCGAGCATGAGTTCATCGAAATGGACCGCTCGGGCTTTGAGCGAGCGGAACTTGCATACATTGGCGCAGGGGTGAACCATCTTATCCGGCTCGAGCTCGTGGAATATATACACACGCGTTTTTTCCATCACAATAAACGAATTTGGATCATCAGAGGCCCATTGCACACCCCAGACATCTTTGCGCTCAATATTCGGGAGCATAAAGGACTTTTGTGGGACTAGGGAGAGATCTTTTTCAAGAGGGGAGACGCGGAGAATGCCGTCAGAGTCCACCACTATGAACATCGTAGAATCGCAGTTCAACCCCAATAAATGTGGTCGGGATGACAGCACTAGCTTACCAACCAGGTTGAGGGGATCTAGGGTGTAGACCTGTAAGATACCCGATTCGCGTCCGACAAGTAAGCGAGTCTCATTCATGCACGCCGCACAGATGAGGTCATTTGTCATGGTCGAGCGAGTTTTCATGCTGGCTATCGTTTCAGATCGCACCACGTCGTCGACATGTAAAACGCGGATTTGGCTCTTTTTGCGGTTGGCTTGCATTGAGATAGGGTCCAGATCGTCGATGATCGCGTTGGGGTCTCGGAATTGCCAGATGAAAATGGACTCCTCGCCGCAGCACACGATATGCGATGAGTTCATGCAGCACGCCAAGGGCTCAATATTGGTAAACTGAATTCCGATAGGGCTCCCAATCGCGTTGAGAAGCTGCACCATGTACTGGGACTGCTTAGGGTCCGGACAGATCACCATAACGCAAGCGTCCTTATAGGAATCCAAATAAAGGAGTTTTCGGACATGTTTCACTGTTCTCCCATTATTCTTGACATTCCAAAACACCACAGTTTCCTCAATCTTATCGGGACGATTGAAGGAATATACCAGCGTTTTCTTAAAGTAGCAGTATTTATAGCGTGGCCGCACGTTGGCAAAGTAGATCGAGGAGTCCACCGCAATGGCCACCCGAAGGCCATCACCTTCCCATGTCACGCCCCCGCAGTGGTGCCCATTCACTCGCAGCGTCCGCAAACGAATCCCCTCATTATTAAAAAACTGAGCGAGGATGGTTTGCGACTCGAGCCCCACATCCGACACGCCGCACACAACCAAAACTGTTCCCTGGGGATCCCACGCGACATGCTCGACCGTCATGTTCACCTCAATCAGGTACACGTGGTCATCCCTTACACTTTCCATCAACTGTAATTTCCCCGATGTATAGCATATGGCCATGGTGGGCAAAGGCTCTAATCGTTCCACCCAGGCTGGATGCCAAAGCAGGGAGGCCAGCTTCGACGGTGTTTTCTCACACTGAATATTAATCTGGCTGATATATTGCCCACCCACCGCGTCGTGCACAAAGACTTCCCCTTGACTAGTCCCGAACAGCAGGTAGCGGTCGTCCGGGCTCCAACAAACCTTGGCAAGCTCGTAATCATAGTCGTGGTTCCACAACCGACTCCCATCCACGTAGCCCACCACAATCGCACCATCCTCATAGGCCACACAGATCTTATTCCCATCCGAGCTCCACGACAAATCCACCACACGGCTTTGATTGCGGTTATTCACCATCTCCTCAAACCACATTCCCTTGTGCAAGGTCCACACGATAATCCGCCCACTCTCATCGCAGCTCGTTAGTTTGCGATAGAATTGGTTCCAGCATACAATGCAGACCGTACTATTATGCCCCTCTAGAGTTTGGTTAATGGAAAGGCTGCCGCTTTTCTGGGCTTGAGTCCCGCTGTCGACTTTCATAACTTTGAGCAGCCCCCCTTCCCCACCGCAGGCAAACCAGCCCTGAGTTTCATTCCAGCCCACCGCGGTGACATTGGTGCCACTGGGGATGGCAATTCGCTTGCTGAAGTAGGCAAACATAGTTGGTTTGGTGGTAGAGCAATTGCGGTTTATTATTAGTCTTTAGTCGATAAATGACCTCTTTTCCAAGACAGAACAAGGTGTGGTCCAGGGAAAAAAGAAGCCTAATGAGTCGTTATCGATTCCCTTTTTTTTTCGTTCTCTTTTACAGTTTCTAGATCTAGTGTGCGAGAAAAACGCACAAACACAAAGGTGACCTTATCCCTTCACTAAATGAGATCGCTAGGAATAAGGGAAACTAAAAAAAAAGGGGGAAAAAAATCAGGTGCGATTTTAGATATAATAGAGTTCTCATCTTTTTTAGCATTGAAGCACATTTGAAACGAAACAAGGACACCAAGGGATGATGAAAACATCCCTCTGACGGAATGTCCTGTCCGTATGAAACGCCATGGTCGTGTAGTTCAATTTTTTAATAAGGAAGAATTGATAAATATTCCGACAAAAAAATCATAAGATAAAAAATTAAAAAGAAAAAACTCTATGAACTAAAAGACGAGAAACAGAAACGATGAGTATCTGTGATTTGCTTTTAGCGGGCCGCGTTGGACACGGCTTTGGTGCCTTCCGCCATGGCGTGTTTGGCGAGCTCCGCGGGGAGCACCAGACGGACAGCCGTCTGCAGCTCGCGGGCGCCCAACGTGCGCTTTTTGTTCACTCGCACCAACGTCGCGGCCTCCATCGCGACGCGCTCGAAGAGGTCGTTAACAAAGGAGTTGACAATTCGCGTGGTGCGTCCGGACAGGCTCATTTGTTTGTTGATCGCCTTCAAAGAGCGGTTGATGTAGACATTCCAGCTGCGCTTGGGCTTACGGTGGCGGGTGGTGCTGGAGCGCTTGGCGGTGATCGCGGTGTTGGAAGCGGCCATTTTTGTGGGTAGGTAGGGCGTGGGTTGGTGGCGAGTGAAAATAAGAAGGCTTTTGGAAGACCTGAAGGTGAGATCTTTGCGGAAGATTAAAATAAAAAAGGAAAGGAAATAAAAACAAAAAGCGATTTTTTTATTTTATTTCAGATGGAGAAGAGTCAGCAGCTCAATCATTTACTTATGCATATCCAAGCAGATGTTTTATGACACATTTTGTCCACTGGTCGGTTGACCTTAAGACAAAATGTAGCGACGCTGAATTATATAAATCGCTCTCTACACCTTTGCAGAATTTTTTCTCCACAGAGGGTGAAATTTAGCGCTATTCCTTGTGGATCTGAGAAAGTTCAGGTGCACATTGAGAGTCCTTCTTGCACCCACGGCAGCATTTAAACCCCCACAAAAAATGTTCCGTGTTGAAATAGCTTCCAAAGCAGTATCCATGATCCCCATACGTGGTGACGTCGTTATGAGTGAGTCGCATCAACTTCTCATGAACCTGAATGAGATGTGTTTGTTCTGTTTGAATTGCAGAGCTACCAGATGCGGAAGGGGCATACGCGCCTCCCTTTGAGTTTTTTTCAGATCCATACGGCGCCTCCACGGTTGGCGCAGTTCCCAAAACAGAACCCTTTAACGACGAGGAAAGTGACTTCTTCGCAACGTTTCTCGTATGTTCATCCTCAGAGCTTCCATACAGTGAGTGAACAAGCATGTTCACAGGGAGTTCTTTGTCGTCCGAATTTCGACTCCCGATCTTCCCGTCCTTTATTTCTTCGTCTGAGGTCAACCTATTCTTGGAGGTTGAAACCTCTTCACCTCCTTCGATCTTCCTCAAGCCCCTTTCCCGACCCAATTCTTCGTCCAGTGCGAAATCGACAAAACTCTTCGACTGCCCCGTCAGGTAGCGATACTGGGATTCTACATAATTATAGTAGTCCCCAGACCGATAACGCTGTAGATCACCCTGGAAAAGTCTTGTGGGATCATGTGCATTGGGATTTTCCCGCATAACTCCCATTTTTGGGTCGAAAAAGATGTCCTTTTCGTCTAAATTTTCTAAATATTTTGGAAGTGGTTGAATTTCAAGTCCTCCGTGCTGAGCCGCAAGTTTCGCGAAGGCTTCCTCAGGCTTAGCCCGCTTATTCGGGTCTCTTTCTTTGTCCTTCCCCGTCTCCTTGCCGTTCGTTTGGGAAGATTGGCGCAGTAGATCAACGCCGGCGCGGTCCACAAAGCGATCTCGCTTTCTCGCGGACGCCGAGCCCCCGCCGTCCGATGTGGCCACCACCTTCACATCCACCCCCGTCACCACCCCGGTGTATTTGGCGCCCACTTTTTTCTTGGGCAGGAGACAATGCGGCGTCTTGTGAGTGCGGGAGCCGCAGTTCGCGCAGGCCCCGGCCACAAAACGCGTTGGGCGCCCCACCACCACCACCCCTTCCTCCCCCTCATCGTTTAAGCGGTCATAGCTATCCGTGGGGTCCGTCCCGTCCGGGGCTTTTTTTCGTTGGTGCTCCAAAGTGGTGCCCGAGACGCCGTAATACCACGGCGCGCGCGCGATGGACTGCGGGACGTTCGGGCTAATCTCCTGCCCCGTCACCGCGTCCAGGGCGAGAGGAGCGAGGCCGAACTTCCGCTTTTCGTCCAACTCCCGCTGGTCGCGAAGGAGTTGCCGCACCGACACCTGTTGTGCTTTCCCCTCATTGCTCTTCCGCAACGGCAAGGGAGGCATATTTGAAGTGTATGACACAAGGCGTGTGGAACTGTTAAGGGTACGCTTTATTGGGGCACTTCGCCACTCAAATTCATAAAAAAGGGGTTTGTGATTTAGCTGTATTTTTTTGAAATTTGAAGAAGAGGGGACAGGAGGTGGTACCGGTGAAAAATAGAAATGCTCAAGCAATACCGCAAAGGATTTAGGACATAATCACAGTTGCAGGAAAATGTAAAAATACAACTCACCAAAAAAAAACCTGCACGTTTACACGTATAAATGCGTTAACAATCTGAAACACCAAAATATACAGAGAAAAAATCTCAATTTATTCGCAAAGTCACAGAAAGAGAAGACGTAAAAGTGCAGGCTTTACCTATTCTAGCATTCAGCTTTTTGTATAAAGATGAACTCAGAAGTGTGAAATGTAAAAGTAAACAACGATATTCATTAGACCTTGTGTGATTGTATATTTGTAATGAGTTACGTTATATGTGAACGGGAATGATTCGTTTTTTCTTCAATAAAATTTTCACATTGCCCTTACATTTGAGTGCCACGTGAGATGTAGAGCTGATACAACGGTGGGCACAAATTTGGTCCGTACACATCGAATATCTCCTCAATTTCTTCACTACCTGTGGGGTCCGAAAAAAACTCTTGATGCAGCGCCAGACAACGGTTGAACACAGCCGTTAAGATCTGCGGCTCGCGTATATGAAACTTTGCCAAGGACCACAACAGCCGCCGCGTCTCCCCTGCATCGAGAAAGCGACAGACATAGGGACTTCTCTCTGATAGCGCAATCGCCGTGTCTTCTTGAAAAAAATTTGTCCTCGCAAAGGCGTGAATAGTGCTGACAAGATCTTTTGGATCAAATTGATCTGCGATGGAAGCGGCATGAGAAGCCAGACGTTTGAAAAGCTCCTCATCTTTGAGCCCGAAGTGGGCGAGTGCGGTAACGGTTTTGGAGATATCTCTCGAGTCGTGGTCCTGGACGACTGCCAGGGAGCGCTCCGCTAGGTTGTCGAACAGCTCAGGGTTGTTGATCCCAATCCGCTGGAATGCCGAAAGCGTGGTGCTGATATACTGTGCGCTAAACTCATCAATTAGCTCAACCGCTCGGTTCGTGAGAACACCGAATAGCTGGTCATACCGAATCCCAAAATAGGCGAAGGCTTGAAACATTATCGACACTTGTTCCGCATTCATTTGGTCGACATACTCCATCGCTTTACCAGCAAAGCGCTTGCTCAGTTTGACGTCCTTCAGCCCGGCTTTTGAAAAGGCAAGAATCAGGGGTACCAGTTCATTCACGGTAACACGCTCCCGTAGTGATATTGCGCGGCGGGCGATGACGTTGTAAACATTCTTATCCTGAAAACGTAACCTCGAGAAGGCGTTCGCGAGAATAACCAGATGCGACGCCTCAAACTCCCCTACACGTGCGAGAGTCTGAATGCGAGAGGAAAGTAGACCGTATAATTTTTCGTGATGAATATTTGTTTTCGAGAAAGCACTGGTGATATTTGTGACCCCTTTCGCGTCGAGGTACTTCGCGTTTTGTGTGGCCTTGATGGCCTGGAGCTCAATCACCTCTCTCGCATCGCGCGATTTGAGGGTCGCACACGCGGTCACGACAATGGGCAGCACATCCAAGCTGATAAACTTGTTGTTTTTCAGACAGTAGTCTATGGACTCGCGCACTAGCCTGGCGTCGCTTTCCATCCCAAAATAAACTGCGGTGCTGAGGAGTAGCGCGACGGAGCGGGCGTCGATGTTTTGTCCGGTAATCGAGGTCGCGAAGAGGACACGGCGGGCCTGCTGGGCCAACATCGGGCTCCCCCCCCGCTCCTGGTGAAGTTTCTTCATCTGCAACGCTTCGACAGCAATGCTTCGCGCCGAAAGTTGGGAGCCGCGAGGGGCGTTGGGGAGGGCCAGCTCCATACCAAACAACCGTCCCGCGTCGCCGTTCAAAGCCCCGGTGGGGGGCTCTCCCCTTCCCATCGCGCTAAGAGAGGAGGCCCCTCCGACGGGGAGATTAGAGGGGGTCTCGATAAGTCCCGTTCCCGTTGGGGTGGTGTCGTGTTGTCCACGCCGGCTGAGAGCCAGCCCGGCCCGCCACCCCCCCCCCCTGTGGCACGGCCCTGCAGCTGTGACAGCGGCCCTTTGAGAGCCCGCATTGGATGTCCTGAGGTTTAACAGGACGTCTGGCCTAAGAAAGCGAAATGGACCGGTTTAG